GCAGTAAAATGAAATGGGAAAGCATGAAAAATAATCAGGCACCTACCTCCCCCTGGCGGTCCTAAAATGTGCTACTTGCAGAAACTTTTGGGGCGGTGCCTGGCGAAAAATGTTCTAACTGGAGAAACCGTCTTTAATATATATATGTACATACAAGTATATACATACATATATAGACAAATATATATGTATATATCTGTTTATATAAATATATACATACATATATAAGAGCAGAGGGCTCCGTTATGTGCCTTGGCTGCCGCGCCTCGTTTTGGGCGCAGCTCTGGCTTCTTCTCGCAGTTGCCTTTTGTGCGAGTCATGATTTTATTTTCGGTTCGAAAGGTTGGCTTTTGGGCCTTGGGGGTTGAGCGGGCAGCTGGGCATATTGGCAGGATATCGCGTTTGGCAACAGCGCGTGGTATAATTTAATGTGCGGAGTAATAGAAATGGCGTCTGCACTTCAATTTAACAGCAAGGACGAAACTCGAACCGAAACTCGACTGGGGCGTCGCCGGCTCCTCTGTGCAATTGCGCTTGGGGTCCTTTTCGTGTTTGTTACGGACGTCGTTGTTGTTGTTGTAGCTGCTGTAGTTGTGGCTGCTTGAACTTTTGCCTTGCTGGAGCGCATTAATTTAATGTGAATTGTGAAAAGTTTGCTTTAGCTTCAAAGCGAACCGGGCGCATTGGTAATGCGACACCCCCATTGGGGCGTGGCCGGTTTGCTTTTTAGCTCATTTAAATGCTGTGACGAAGTCTTTAACTTAATTCAATAAACAAACAGTTAGACTTGGTCTTTAACCAGGCTTTACTCAAGGCAAAATTTGGAAATTCTGTTTGGAATGTGATACGATGGTATAATTGTATAATAAAAATTTAAATACAGTAAAATATTCAATTGACAAAAAAATAGATAAAACGTGAAGCCAAATTAATATATGTACGTTCTTTATAAAACAATCAATTTACAGACTGTTATTAACAGTATGTTAAGTCAAACCTTCAGGTAACACTCATAACATATTCATAGCCATTTATTTCTATACATGAATGTAAATAAAAGACATATTAATACAATATTTAAATACTGCATCGAGCTGAAATATTTATAGCTTATAAAAGCAGTCTTAAGCAATCTTTCAAATTCAAAGAATTATCTAACAAATTTACATTTTATCAGCAATTTCCTTACATGTATCTAAAATATTTCGCTCACATATTTACGCTCTAAGCAAATATCTTTCAAACTAAATATCAAGTGTCAAACTAAACGGTAAATTTCACAAGTGACTCGTTAGCCAAACACAGTTTAGTTGACACAATTACAATTCCAATTAGATGAACAGAGCCGAAACTTTTGTGATTATCAAATGGAATTAAAGTTGATGCCTTAACTTAAATTAAGGCAAAAAGCTCTTCAAGCCGATAGAGATATGGCAAAGTGGGCGGGGTTGGAGCTTCGAACGTGTTCATCTTCAGCCTGAATGAATGAAATTATTGACGTTGTTTGCGAGAGCGATAGAGAGACAGAGAGAAAGAGAGGGCAATAGCCTGAGTTGCCTAGCTTTCAAAGAGCTTAGCCGAAGTGAAAATTGGCAACGCTGCAAAAGCCAAGAATGCCAAAGTAAAAACGAACGCAAAAAACTAGTTACAGCGCACACACACATACACACACACACACACACACACACACACGTGCACAAACATATAAAAGCAGACAAAAGCCTGGGCCAGCGTCTTGTCTGCTCCATTCCACCCACTGACCTGGCACGTTCTCCTTCCCCAGCTCTGCCCCGCCCAGCGCCTCGCTTGTGCCTCGTGCTGTTTGGTGCGTTGTTGCCGCATTATTTTTATCACAAATGTTATCAAAATGTGCGTTGCCAGCTGCGGCCTTAAGCGACACGGGCTGCTAAGCGTACCCAGGGAAGAAGCAGCAGCAGCAGCAGCACCAGAAGAAGAAGAGTCAGTGTGGAAGCGACGCCATTCCTCGGCGAATGAGGTCGCCTGTGTGCCGGAGGAGCAGGAGGCGGGCTGCCAGCAGCATTAGTCAAGAAGCAGAATAAAAAGTTGAAAATGAAAATAATGCAGCAGCAGCAGCAGCGACAACGTCGGGCAGAGGCAGGGGCAGAGAGCGAGAGTGTTGAGTGGGAGGCAAGAAAAAAGAAAACAGAGAGCAAGAGCGAGAGAGAGAGCGCGCTTAACGAAAAAAAGACTCAGCGTAGGCAGCACAGCAAACCTTGTGGGTGGCTAAGCTTCTGCTCCTACTCTTCCACTCTGTTATTCTTGTTTGCCGTCCTTTTTTTCAAATCGTTGTTTTGTTTTGTCTACGAAAAGGAACAGAAAAAAAAAAGAAAAATAATAATACAGTCTCTGCCAAAGTCTTTTCCATCTGCACTCTATGGGATGTGGGAATTTTGCGCATGTACATCAAATACATAATGCATGAAGTAAGTATGTGTGTGTGTGGCAGCGTATAAAATACCCACACAGACACACACACACACACATCACATACACAGCTATGCATAGTGACAGACGCATGGTAAATTGTCATCGATTTTCTGTTCTGTTGCCATGTAAAAAGCATTTAAGCTGTTACGAGTAATGATAAGGGAGCTATACCAGAGCGAAGGGTGGAGGGTGAAGAGTGGGGCCAGCATGTCGCCTGTTTAGATGGTGTTTATGTTTACGGCATTTTATGCATGCATGTTGTACACACATACAGTATCTCAAAGATACACACACACACACACACTGGGGCAGCTCTAACGCTAGTTATAACGGTTGACTGGGCCAAGCTAAGTAGCCTGCCAACTTTACCCAGTATCCGTATCTCATATGGCAGCTAGCTGTGTGTATCCATTGGATACCTTCCTTTTGACTTGACTTTAGCTTTTATGCGGGCTCAACAAAGAAATTTCTATTCATTATTTATTTTTTTCTTTCATACTCTGCACAAAGTACGCCAAAAAGTTCCACAGAAAACGTCGGTTGACAGCAAGTCAACTGATAAGAGAACTCATTCGAATGACCCCAATTAGAGTCATGTGGACAGGAAAGAAAACTAGTAAAGTGACTATAGAAATAATGGAATACTAAGAAAATATTGTATGCAGTAAATTAGATAGATTGTTATTATGTATAATCAATAATGGTATTTGTTTTAAATTTAGTTCACATTAGTTCATAAATAAAATTGGACTGCTCAAGTTGAAAAAAGCCCCGCTCTAACCTACGCGGAGCTACTAACTAGTCCCAGCATTGGGTGCTTGTTTGTATAAGTACATATAGCCACATACATATATACATAACTATGCATATATTCATAGCCAATAATTTCTGAGAAAACCTTTTTCTAATACACAGTATAAATTTGCAACGGGAAATCGTGGTAAAGGCAAACACCGAAAAACGAAACAACAAAAGGCAACTTTATTAGTATTTCCTTTTTCATTTTATTTTATTCTTTTATGTATTTTTGTTTGCTATTTACAGTTTGTTTCAGTCAAGATCCTAACAGAGCACCGTTATTGCCCAAAGACTGCTGCTTGACTGACAGCGCCGCCAGCTTGTCTTGGCTCTCTTTCAAGCACATGTCGTCTCTGTATCTCTCTCTCTCTATCCCTCTCCCTCGCTCTCATGAAGTATATGATTTCCTTTGCTTAGCGTGGCAGCTGCTGCCAAAGTAGAAAAAGCAGCAAAGCCCAAAATGAAAAGTGGTTTTTAGTGTGAAAAACTGGAGCGCAACATTTGCAAAAGTCTCAAATTGAGAGCCCGTTTTGGCAGGTGTGATATATCAGATGCTATTCATCCATTGCCAACTGTCAAATGGCGAACGTGAGAAAAAGCGACCGAAAAATGTCGAACGATTTAAAGCTGAGAAAAAACGCGTTCAATTTGCGTGCGATTAAAGTAGAGCACATACAGCAATTCAAATGGACAGAGATTATTGCAAAAGGGACCTATTAAAGAGCAGTTAATGTAATAAATATGACAATAAAGTCGAGTAGCAGAGAAAAGGGAGAAAGAGCAAAATGAGAGAACTAGGTCGAAAGTATTTCATTTCATTGGCAACGAATGCTATCGGCTGCAACTGTATTTATTCAGTATTAATTACTGATTCACAAGAATGATCTAAAAATACCAAAATTGAATGTTTGTTTTGGTATTTTTGTATTACTACCAATAGAATACAAGTTGATTCACTATCTTATTGGTAATTCTCTAAAAATATCAAGTATCTTCCAATATAGAACCCTCATAATTTTTATCTCTTCTACAATCAGCAATTTTGTTTAATTGTATAACTGTAAATGCCTTGCATTTATTTAAAAGCTACAAATTTTTCCAATTCGTTATTTTGTTGTTTCTCTTCTTCTTCGTAAGCCTATCTCCATCTCTCTTTCTGATTCATTCACTCACTCACTGTTGCTCTCTTGAATAACTTTCAAGTTGTTTAACTTTAAAACCGTTATTATTTACTTATATGCTGGTTAGCCTATCGCTTCTATTTCTTTATTTTTTCACAAACAGCTGCTTTTGCTGTGAGTTCATTCAACTGTCAAAAAAAGAAGCAATACAAACAATTAACAAAAAAAAAGAGACAAACGCACACACACTTATATATGTAGATAAATACATACATACATAGAAAGACACTCGCGTCGTGCATAGAAAATGAAATAAAATTAAAAGTAGCTGCTGCGAGCTATAGCACACACACATACATATGTATATGCAACCATTCATACATATACATATATTCACAGACACACACACATACACATACATACATATAGGAATCTGTGAGCTTTGCCTTTTTAATGGCATTGCTATGATTGTTGTTTTTGTTGCCATTGTTTTCCCCTCTACTTTTGTTCGGTTTTTCGTTTTCTGCATCGCATCTAAATTTAACTTTCAATTCTAAACAGTCAACAATTTGCAGCAGGCAGAGATCTGACCTCCCGTTCCACCATTCCGAATTTATTTCTGTAAGATTTTCGTTGTTTTTGGTCTTTTACTTTGTGGTTTCTATTTTCATTGCATATATGTACATGTATAAAAATGTATGTATATGTATATACATATATACTTTATGGCATTGTTGCTTGCATTTGTGTTCGGGCCAGACCTCCAAAATGCTTCACAGATACATATAGAGCAAAGATATTTTTGTATCCTATAGATACGATACTCTAATATGCAGATATTATCTCAAAATAAAACAAGAGACGTTCGCGTGTAAACATTGAGATAAATTAATTTTTGTTAACTGTATATCGAAACGAATTTTTAAATATTTATAGAAATGAAGAAACCGTTTTTTATTTAATGAAATAAAATATAATTTATATTATATATAAATATATTTTCATTATACAAAATTCAAATCCATCATTCCTTTAATCTTATCAAAATTATTATTGTTTTTTTTTTATTAAATTCAAACCGTATTTAACAGATCTCAATTTAGAGGGCATCAACATCATAAAAACGGCACATTGCACATATACATAGATTATCTATGTATCTAACTGAAGTCTAAAGCTTTCTTGCTTTTTTTTTAGTTGTTGCTGCAGTAAACGCAGTGAAGCGCACAGAGACCGCAACAGCACAAAAACAACGCAATATAATAGACAACAGACAACAACAAACAACACATAGACAGCGATTGCTGCAAGCACAATCACACAAACACACACCCACATGCACAACATACACAATCGCATGAAACACACAAAGAGAAGGAGTCAGAATTGAGGCAGCGAACGCAAGTAAAGTTGCTGCTGCTGCTGTAGCTGCTGCCGCCGCTGACGTCGACTGAGGCCGTTGTCTGTTTTTCGTGTGTATCCAACTCTGCTGCATCGACACAAACAACAACAGCTACGAGAAGAAAACAGAGCAACTTATTTTTGTTTAGCTGCCACGTTTTTTCTTCTCTTTCTCTTTTGTTGTTATTCGTATTTAATTTTTTTTGTTTGCCTGCTTCTTTGGAGTTTTTCGTTTTGTGCTTTGTTCGCTGTTTTTTTTAATGGATTTCTCTTTCGGCATGAAATTGTGCAGCCGCAGCAACAAAGCAGAGGCCACCAAAACGGAAAGAGAAATGATTAAACCGAAGACTTTTAAGCCGCAGTCAGAGGCAACCGCGGCGGCTGCTGCGTGGGCTTATTGAAGAGAAAAAAATCATAGAAACGAAAAGCAACAATAACTGTGAATTGGAAGTGCAATTTAATTGACAAGCGAATGCAAACAGGCAAGCATCATACATACATACATATGTATATACATAAATAGAATGGCCAATTGGCACGTATAAAAATATATATATGTATATATGTATATGTATGCATGTGTGTGTGTGTGTACTCTGATCAAATCCAAGTAGTTGGCACAGTTGTTATTTTACTTATTTTTTTTTTTTTTTGTACATGTCTTTCGGCATTCGCTGCTTGTTTTGTTTTGAGCTTTAATTGGATTTTTCGTTTGATTGACAGCGTAACAGAACGTTTAGTTGTTGAAATCTTACATGTATATGTATACATAAATATGTATTTTGTTATAATAATCGATCAAATCTTATACAGAATAAATCAATTTATAAACAGTTACAACAGCAAAGGTCTGTTCCGCTTCCGCTCATTAACAGCTGTGGCTCTCTATCATTAATAACCACAAGAGAAGAGAAAAGAAAATTAAGAATTTGTTCTATTCCATTGTAAACGGAAAGATTGCGCGACCGCAAACTTACAAAGTCGCAATGCATAGGCAATGAACAAAAAATATAAGAATCGCTACTGATACGTCGCATACAAAAAGAAACACAATACATACGCACACATATGCATATGTATGTAATAGAAAAAATAAGAGCGTTTATACGCTCTTCATTGGGTGGTGGTACTCACATTTTTCTCCGCCCTCGCCCGATCACCGTTAGCTCCTTACTTCTGCTGCTTCGTTCTCCTCTCTTTCTCTCACTCTCTCTCGCGCCGTCGTTCAGTATTTTTTTATACTTGATCAAAGTCTTTAGTACTTATTCCATTCGTTGTTACTGTTATGTGACATTTTAGGCGGGCTCAACCGAGCCGAGTTGGTGAGGAAGACAAAAATACCATTTGGCGAAACCTTAGTTTGTTTTGGTATTTGCTACCCACACTTTTGCACTTTAATTATATTTACTTCGTTGTTATGTGATTGATATTTAACAAGCTCTGCAAGAAAATTGCAATATTAAATAATTTTGTATTTTTTAAAGGATATTTTTGTTTCAGATTTTTTTTTTGCGATATTACACTTTTCAGCTGCTGTTGCTGCTTTTGTATACATATACCCGCACACATGCATGTTCATATGCATGCACACGCATACACACATTCACAACGATCGCACTCACGTACACAACGACGAGAGCGGCATGCGCTTCTTCTTATTTTCTTTGCACTTATTGAACAGCAGACGACGCAGCGTCTTATTTTCTTCTTGCTGCTTATGGCTGCTCAAATTTTGTATTGCAAATATTTTAAATATTATACATCAACTGATAATAAATTTCATTTTAACTCGAAGCAAACAAAGGCATACACTACACATACAAAAACACAAATCCACACACAAACACAAAGACAGCACACACACGCGCGTGCCGACTCCGAATATTTTACTTTTTCTTTAAGCCATTTTCGTCGTCACATTTACAACAAGAAGCACAAGCAATTTAGACGCTCTGCTTCTCTTTCACACGGCTACGCGGCTATGTTGGGCACTGATTTGCTGGCTCGCTCTATCGCGTGCACCGCATACAAACACTCACGTAATTTAAATTATGTATTTTGCTTAGTATAGCATTTGCCTGCCATGCCGTACGCTGTGTATGTAGATCAACCCCACTGCACTTGTATACTGGATGCAATTTGTTGCATATTAAAGAACAAAATACATGTGTATTGTATAATTAAGTATTTTTTCCTTAAGCCAAGTTAAAATACACACGCGCAGCGGCAGTACACGTCCGTACTGTTCAAGCGAGAGCGAGAAACAATACACAAAAGAAAATATGAAAAAGAGATACGTTCCAAGTGCGACCATACTTGGAAACCATTCTATATACTAAATATGCCTAAAAAATACCAATTTGTTATGGTACATGAAAAACTTGTAATTCTTGAAAAAATAAAAGCTTATAATATATAATAATATCAACAAAGTTAGCTGAGCTTTTATAGCTACGAAATATTGATATATGTTGGAATTTTTTAAACAATTTTAAATTTCAGTAACGTGGGTTTCATATCATTTAGCCCTTGCGTGCATGCTTTAGGCACTTTCCAGCACTTATCATCTCCCCACTGACAGGGTTGTACATTGATACTAAATTCGGCAACATCGATAGCTTGCCATAGCAATTAGTGTGTGTTGATTTCGAGCGGTGAGAAGAGTTATGTTACGGACCGCATTATTAAAATACATAACTAATTTTGGTATACAGTTAAAGTGCACCTAATAAATACAAAGGAAATGTTCAAAACTATCGTGCAGTGAATCCGAAATTAACATTCAAATTTGATCAATCACTTGCAATGCGGATTTTGCGGCAGATTTTGTGATGCGCACAGAGCAGCGCCTATCAACGCGTAAAGAAAACGGCCAAAAAAGTAAAGCAAATGAAAATCGAAGAATACCAGTGAAAATTTTCGAATAGTTGGCAATATTAATAATCAAGTGCAGGCAATATATATGTATATAGATGAAAATACATATATACTTGCGTATATACATATGCATTTGAATAATATTGTTCTCTCTCTATATGTGTGTGTGTCAGTGAGTGTTTGCTTGTTCATGTGCCAAACAAAAAAGGGCGTCACAAAAAAAAATTGAATGCAGCCCAAGTCAAATCAACACTAAAATCGAGACCTAAACGGACTCTAAGGTGAGTGCGTGCCGAATATTGTTTATAGTCGCTTATTTTCATGTGGCCACACCTACATACACACACTCACAGTGGCATGCACACAGCCAAACAAGTTTTGTACCTTGCACTTACACGCTCTCATTTAAGTGCGTGTATGTGTGTTAGTGTATTGTATACAGTGCATTTTTATTGTTGACTGATTTCTGCATTCCTTCTCTTTCTCAGTCTCTGTCCGTCAGTCAGTCAGTCTTCATTGCTTTCCTCATACTGCATAGAATGATTCTCAATTACAGTTAATAACAAGTTAAATTTAATTCATCACAATGGATAACTGTAACAGGCTGCGCTCTCAGTTTTGACAATCAGCGCTTCGTTGAGTGACTCTCAATTCAATTAGCTGCACTTCCCGCTCTCCAAGTGAGAGTAAATAGTGCAGGAATATGTGGAAGCTGTTTGCCTGCTCTCCATCTTGTCTTTCTTTATGGTTGTTGTTATTGTATTGTAGTTCTTGTTGTTGTTTTGATAGGAGACAGGCACCGTTATATGTATGTACAACAGTAACAACAGCTCAGCAGCAGCAACAATCGCAGGTTATGTCTGCAATTGAATTAAATTTAAAAATAAAACGCAACTAAAGAGAATTATTTACTGTTTTGTATAGTTGTTGCTGTCGCTGCTGGTGCTCCTGCTGCTATTTCTGCTCAATGTCTGAGCATAGCAATTTGTTGTATTTTATTTAATTTATACATGTATGTATGTTTGTATGTACATATATATCTTTATGTATTTATATTCATACATACATACACGCTGCTCATCTTCCCTCTTCAACTAATCCCGTAGATTTTTTGTTGGTGAAATTATTTATGATGCTCTCTCTCTGTTTCTGTCTCTCTTACACCCTCTCTCTACCCTTGGCTAGCATAAATGATTATTCGTATATGCATGTGGTTGTCAAATATATTTTATTGAACGAAATATGTTGTATGTTATATGTTATATATGCGTTCATCTGACATTTATTCGATTTGAATAATTTCGTTGCTAAGAGCTGGCCAAATACATAGATACAGACACAGGTACATATATATCCATATCCATATGTATATACAATGTACACATATGTGTGTATACATAGGCATATATACATACATAAATATATTGTAGCTAGCCAAGATTTGCAGCGTCACAGTCGTGCAATACGTGACGTCAGGAAATTTAAATAAATCATCTTCATTAATCAAGCAGCCTCATAAAATACACTAAGAAACATTTAATATCTATAACATAATATTTATATATATTACTTTAAATATTTTGTCGATTCTTATAACATTTTTGAAATGCCTTAGATTATACAATTTCATTGGAACTTATAACCATCGGCAATGACCATATGAAGAATTTTTTATATAGATTAGATTTTTATGGGAAAATGATATATACATACATATTTTTCCCTTACAAATCTAATCTATAAACCTTATCAATCGGTACATAAAAGAAATGCACGTGGATTCAACCTAGCAACAAACGTACAAAAAAAAAAAAAAAAAAGAAAAGCAGATTATGCTTAAAATGATTGTGTATATTCTAATAAATGTGCTCGACTAGCTGTTACTACAAATATAAATATATAGTATATACATACATATGTATATGATCTAAATATTGATTAGAACTATATTAAAGAAATTAATTAAAACAGAGTGGAGACACTATATACAGTATGTGTATGTGTATGTATGTATGTATTTGTGCATATAATAAAAAATGTAATAAAAAACATTTTAATATAAACAAACATTAAAATGCTACATAAAAAAAGGCAAAATTATTTTTGGGTGCGCCGTTGCCCCGTTGCCAGGTCGCATATTTTGTTGTTGTTGTTTCTCAATTTTTGGGAGTTGCGGCACCAGGTGTACAATTGGCCCTTTCTTGCCCTCGTTTTGGGCACACGCCCAACAACGCTGTTGTGTGGCTAACATGGCCAATATGTGCGCAATAAAAACTAAAAACACAAACAGAATCTAAAACCAACAACGAACCAACAAGCAACACCAAACATTAATAACAAATAAAAACAAACCTATACGAGCTTCAAAGGCCAACGACAAAAGCAATTAAATAGTTCGCAAAGTTCAAGAACAGAATCTCTGGTTTTTTTTTTTTTAATTTTTGGCAAATGTAAAGTAAGAGAAAAGGAGAGAGAGAGCAAGCTATACATAGAGAGAGCAACACAAATTAAATTAACTTAATTAGATATGCAAATATTTGCGTGTTATTTGGTGCTTTGTTTGGCTTTAATGCTCTGATTATATTGCATATTGCATGACATTACGATATGGCTTATATTGTGAGCGAGCGGGTAGCTTATAATAATAATAAAATAATAATATTGCTTACGCTTAGCATGCAAAGGAACTTTGAACTTTGTTTTATATTGTTTTCTTCTCTTTTAAATAGAAATGGGTGAATAATATGTACTTTTTTAATGCCCTTAATCATCTGAATCAATTTGGAAATAAATATATAATAAATACAATTAGAATTCTTGTAATATGCGGGTCACTTATATCATGCCCGTATCATCTTTTCAATCTACAATTTCTTGGTGAATATAATTTGGATTGACATAGACATGAACCCCTTTCATGATTGATTAATTGCTGCAAATAATATTGCTTAAATTGATATATTCAATTTCAGTTTAATTCAATATAAAATAATAGAAACTCTATCTCTTTTCAAATGGTTTATTAACCCTCGATCAATCGGCTTATGGGCTTTAATGTCTTTCGGCATTTCTTCGGCCATTTGTGCAGCTCAATCGCAATAAGCTGCTTAAAATCTACTTTCCTTGAGCCATTTGAATGACTCAAATTGAATTTCAAGAGGTGTGGTGAGTGACTGCTCACATATACATACATATATGTTTGTATTTTGTTCAGAACATCTCAATTGCTCTTCTCTGTGTGAGTCATCCAAGCATCAACGCATAAAATTGTCACACAACAACAAGGAGAAATAGTGCCAATTATGAAAGCGGCGTTTGGATGACCAAATCTGACTTTGACCTTTTGAGTGACAACGGCAGCAAAAACAACAACAACAACTGTAACAATAGCAATAAAAAGTTGCCGTTTGCCTCGCTCAAGTTAAACAACTTCCGCTGCTTATTTATGCACTCAAACAAATTGCAGAGAATAAAAAAAAAAAAAAAAAAACAAAAATTGTTTAAAATATACAAGAGCTAAAATAACCACAAAAACAACAATAATAATAATGATAATACATATTACTAACGAAAATAACAACAGCAACTGTCATAGCAAGTAAGAGTGCTCGACTAGCAGATGCCCTAAGGCTTAAAATATCTAATATTCCACTCATTCTACGTTGCATTCACAATTATAAAGTCCATAATCTCCATCTTAAACATAAAATATCACGCCTGTTACATAAGCTTTGAGAAAACCAGTATACCCATTTTCAAAGGGGTTTAGGGTATAACAAAGTAACATCAACTGTGTTCACTTTCACCCATTCGCAGTGCCTCGGGGGATCTGCTGCCCCACACTGATTGACGGCGGCACAGGCGGCACTCCGTCAGGCTGTCAATCAACGATTTATAATAATACGCACTAGCATATATTTAAAACATTTCAAATGTCAAACACGTGCATCAAAACTGAGAAATATTAATAAATAAACAAATTTAAAGGCTTACACAATTAAATTGTCTAGTGAATGAGTTTGTTTTGAGTTATGAAACAATATTTTCCACTTGAAAGAAAGTAGTAAACATATATATAAAATACTATTAGATTGATTTACAGCCTTAAAAATTCATTTTACAGTTGATAATTTCTATTCACTTGAGCCATAAAAACACACAAATTTTGGACAGAGAACTCAAACAAAAGATAAGCATTATTTATTATGGGTCTTGTGCAGATGATTCATCATGAACACATCAGCATCCCAGTTGGGGTACAAAGTTCGCAAACCCGTTTCAGTTTCAGGACCCCCATATAGGAATATGTATGGGTATATATTGGAGGCTGGTCTGAAGTGGCATTTGGGGTCCCGCATTTCGCATTGATTTTTGCCGAGCAAGCTGAACAGCATAATAACCATATATGTATGTATGTTTTATGCGCACATATATAGTAAATTTATGTATATATATATATACAGATTTATTTTGACTCGTGTGAAGTTTTTGCGATTTATTTGCTTTGTTGTTATTTTTGCTTTTCCGGTTTCTCTGTATTTGGTATTTGTTTTTGTTTATATTCCATGCACGAAGTTGTCAAAGTAGCTTTTGTTGTTGTTGTTTTCTCTTTGTGTTTTATTTAGTTTTAGCTATGTATGTATATTTATTTACATGTTGGTCAGGCAACAGGGCAGCGGCGTCACTCATTGAGCATTCGGTGTAAAAGTGTTTAGCATTCTGATCTTTGTACTTTGAATACGCCTTTTAATTTGTAAATGTATTTACTCTGCCAGTATATATATATATATATGTATATTATATAAATATGATGATGACAGCGAATGGGGAAATTCGTGGAAAAACAAATGAATGCTTTCGCTAAATAATTATATAAATAAAATTATGTTTCAATATCGTGACGGTATATATTTAAGTTTTAGTTAGTCATCTCTTCAGAGAAATATAATTATTCCGCAATAAAATTATAATATAGTTATGTTCTTATTTCCGGGAATTCGCGATGAGTGCCTGAATTTAATCAAAACTTAATTTACTTAAATTATGTTATTTATTCGAATTTGATAAGCTAGAGTGATTCACTGGGATTACATTTTTACAATCTAGAATAGATTATGTCTTATGATAAATACTTAAAAATAAATATCTATCTTAAAAATAAATATCTAGAATAGATTATGCCTTATAATAAATACTTAAAAATAAATATCTAGAATAGATTATGCCTTATAATAAATAATTATTCAAATATAAAAGAATGATTGATATAATATATTGATTTGGCAAAGAAAGTAAATGAAAATGGTATTGGAGATAAATTCGGACTACTATTGATCTATAAGAATCTCAAGCATTTATGTTCTACGAAATCGTATTTATAAGGACTAACGAACATGAACTCAACTCAACTGTTTGATCAAGAATATATGTATATACTTAATGGATGCCTTCTTCCGACTGATTTATTCCATTTTCAATAAATATATAACATCAATTTAAAAGAAAATAAATAACATGGGAAAAGAAATGTCTGCAGGAATATACAAACATTTCTAAATTTACTCAGATTATTTTAAATATATATTTATTATTCGCCTTCTGTCTGTTGTTACATAAATTGTCAGAAAATTATCTAATTTCCCATTTTATTTCATATTTATAAATTCTTTTATTAAACACACTTTAAACTATAAGCAAGCCAAATAAAAATGACAAATAAAATCAAATTAAAGGTAAATAAAAAACGTAGAATATCTAGAATATAACTCGTGGAAAAATAAATTGAGGCCTGTTCTAGCTCGGGCTCAATTTGCATGTGTGTCAACCCAATGTGAATCATCGCGCTGACAAAGTCCAGGCCTCGACCAAAATAGAGCTTAAAGTTCACTTTGAAATTTAATTCATTATTGCTGTTGTTGTTGTTGCTGTTGTTGCTGTTGTTGTTTGGTGTCTCAGTTGACAAATGTGGTGACACAGAAAGTATTTCGAAAAGTTATTGACCCGCCTGTCAAATGTCAATTATATGATCCGACATGTGATGATGCAATGCATCTCATCCCCAGCTCGGTCCGTTAAGGGCGTTGTCGATTTCGCTGTCTGCATAATTTGCTTAATCTGAAAACATTGAGAATTGTGTAATTTATCTGTGTGTGTGCTTGTGTGTGTGTGTGTTTTCTGAGCTCTTTAAGTGTTGCAACAAGCCAAAGCGTATAATGGGCATCGACTTCACGTTCCCGCAATTTTTGGGCTGACTTTGAAGTGGGGCATAAATGGCGTCTCGAATTGTCATTGGGCTTGCTTTAAATCGCCAGCAATTGTTTACATGCGGTTCGGCGGGCTTGCAAAACAATTAGCCATAAACGCTAAGTAATGGGCCATTGGAGGCCACGTGCCAAATGAATCGGACCTAATGGCCATAGTCAAGGTAGGGTAAAAGCTAAGAAAGATAGAGAGAGACAGAGAGAGTGTGTGAGAGAGAGAATATCGAGAACAGAATGAAAAATGTTGAGCATTGCTGCTGGCAAAACAATTTTGTGATTTGTTTACAAACGACTTTGATTGTTTATTAAATACGTATATATAAATATTTGCATTATTTAAACAAACAGATAAAGGCAAAAGTCTTTTTTTTTTTGCTTTGATGTGCATTTGTTTTTGTGTTTACCTTGTTGAGTATATTAAATTTCATTAAGAACATAAAAAACGTGAAATAAATCAGATCAGCAAAAAGAAGAGTCTAGTTAGATACGATCTGGTAGATTTGTTGTCTTTTTTAGATATATGATAACTAGAGCAACAGTAGTAAATAATAATAATAATAATAATAATGATGATGACTATGGATTAGGTTTTACTGGAAACCAATAAAAATTAACTTAACTTACTCAAGTTTGTATATAAATTATTAAATATTCCCCATTTCACAATGGAGTTCATTCCAGTTAAAAAAAAAAAAAGCATTTATAAAAACACATTTCTTAAAAATAAAATCGCTAAATAATTTTTTTTTTTTTTTTTTTTTTTTTTTTTTTTTTTTTTTAAAATTTTTTTTTTTT